CCCAGAAACCCATGCAACAGGATTATGTAAAAAATGTCAGTTTCCCCATTATCAATTTAGTTTGCAGACTTTTGCACAATTTCCCAAATATCATAAAGAAGCGTTTTCCATTCTATTATTAATTACTGTAAACAGTTTAAATGGAAAATTGGAAAACGAATGACTTAGATGAGAAACTAGCGAGCAACTAGCGAGAAACAATACAGCAGATTTTCTTGAGTAGGTAATTTAGTTTTTAACACCAATTGCAGCTTATATATTCAGACAGAAAGAACTGTAGAAATGCATTGTTCTAGCCAGGAAAAGTTATTGCTGATACATAGAGTATCCTAGAGTCAATATCCATAGGAAATTAAAAGGCCAGCATAACAAATTATTTGCTTTAGTGAATGTCTAACCAGTAATCTAGCCGGAAAATAATATAATTAAATATTATTGCCACAAAAATTTTTGTGGTGATTTTCTGCACCAAATGACAATAAACAAAAATCAAACCACCATCAGTCATTTTTAATACATGATTATGAAGTCTATAAAATTTCAAAGCCTTCCAATAGTAGCCAAATAGCCTGAAATTTGGAAATTTTAATTATCTTCATTTGTGAAAGAAATAAAACCATTCTTCTCAGTAAAGGAAAATACCCCTTTTGTTTTGGGCACTTTACCTATTGAAAATTCAAGTGTAAATCATTCTTTTCAAATGAAGTTAAGTTTTCCTGCTGCCCACAATATTTGAGTGGTGGTGGGAGAATCAAATTAGGCTCATAACATAATAATGAATTCTCTACTGTACTTGTCTGGGTACTTTAGAGAAACAAATCCACAGAAACTCATGTATGAGAGAGAGTTTTAGATAAAGGGTAAGTGCACATCAAGAAACCATCCCAACCCAGTGCTGCCCAAGCCCACCAGTCCAACCTTAACCCAAATGTCTGACACCCATCCACAAAGTCCTCCTCCATCTCACCCAACACACACTATGATGCTGACTGCAGGAGGAAAGCCAAATCAGGGAATTTGTAAGCATCTCAGAGCTGTCAGAGCTCTCCACATGGCTACTCCAGCACCCAGGGCTGCATCAGGATAGGACCTTGCGGCTTCTCCTCAGGGATGTCTTGCAGGAAGTGAGCCTTGCCAGCTGAAGCAGGGAGCTGGCTAAGGCAGCTGCACGCTGGTCCTACCATCACAAAGCAAGAGACCCAAGAACTAGAAAGGCAAGGCTCCCCTAGCCATTTATTTCTCCACCCTTCAATTCACCCCACATCTGTTTATTGGCCAGGTTGGCACAATACACTTCAACTAACTCATATACATTTCACATTATCGAATGCCACTAGGTTTTAATAAAATTTCCAAGTGATATTAAAGACAGTTCAAGTTTGGGAGTCACTGCTTTAGACACAGTAACATCATTAAATTGATCTACATTGTTTTTTCATGATACCGATGATGACAACAAAGAAACTTACATAATTGTTTCAACCCCTGATAAGGAGAAAAAGAGGAAAATCAGTCACAGAAAAGAAAGGTTTCAATTGTTGAGCTCTGCCTTTGCTAAACTACTTGGATATTTTTGACTATACAGAATGATGTACGGTAAAGAAACAGGCAAGAGATATTAATCTATTTCATTCCAAATATTTTTTTAAACTATTATCGACACATAATTCAAACATTATATAATTAAAGAGTCAAATAATATGGAGAGCTGTGCAATCATCTCCAAAATCAACTTTAGAACAATTTCCTCTTAATTGTACTCATGGTTGCTGACTCCCCATTTTACCCCAACCTCCCTTGCCTTCCCCTAGGAAATTATTACTCCAGTTCCTATCTCCATAGATTTACCTGCCCTGAATTCCCTATACAGGAAAGTATAGGGAAAAGACAAACTGAACCCAACAACGCTGACCAAATAAGACAGAGAAAAACTTCAATTGAAAAGCAAGCATAAAATCTTTAAAAGCTGGAACAAATTTAAAATGGATCAAAAGGTAGATCAGCTGATAATACATTTTAACCTATCTACATCTATCGGAGCTCCACTTTACAATGCTCTGTATCTTATAGTAAGGCTATTCACATCACAGGACTATAGTCAGAGGGGATTCGCCAGGACAGAATCCACTTGGAGAATCAGAAAATGGATTTGGGACTTCCACTATCACCTATGGCGTTCTGCAGACCAGGTGTTTAGAATTTAAGCTCTATTACCATTCCTTCCTCCAGTTTTACATTTCGTTATTTACAAGACTATCAGTATAAACTTCCGCTAGTGTAGCGGGGTCCTTCCTCAAAAGGACCTAGCCCCACCTTCATTCAAGGATCTGTGGGCCTATTAACTGGCTTAAGTACGGGAGTTTTTGAGGAGTAGTGACTCTTTGTTCTGGTGATTCCAGTTAGACCATCATTCATTCACCTGATCTAGAATGTTTCTACTTGTTTAGGTCAAGTAGAAATTTAGTAGGCTTCCCATCTATTTCACTCCAAGGGACACCGTGCCTAATTAGCCAACACCAAAGGTCCATACTACTCCTACTCTGATCAGTCAGGCTATTCTGACTCGATTATCCATTTTGGTAACCACTGTCCTTGGAGTGATGCAACTTGGCTCCTGCACCCATGGGGCCTAGTCTGCCCACTCCATTGCAGATAACTTAGGACAGCTCCCTGTCAAGTCTCGCTGATATAAAACGGCAATCACAAGGGTCTTTAGGAATACTGGGGTTCCCACCACAAACCAGTTTTCTACTGTTTATCTAGAGTTTGTGTGCTTGGGACACTTCCTTTTGAGGTCAATGGGTTTCTCCTGATAAGCCCACTCTATAACACCCAACATTTCTAAGCTATTGAATACCTTCTGCTATTATATACCAACACAGGTCTATACTTCAACCTGACTTGCTGTAGACCACCTTGAAATCCATGCTTCAGCAATCTAACCAAGTAAACTCTTAGATGCTCTCCTAACCTCTCCAGCTGAAGCATTGAATGTTGGATCTCTATACAGAGGACCCATATTATAAAACTCAGACTCATCAAACTTTATGTTCCTCTGTCTTAGCGGGAGAAGCAACAGATGATGACTATCTCAGAGTTAGGGAATTAGTGGTCATTTGACTTTGGTTTGGTTAAATCTCTTGCTTTGAAGGTGCCCAAAGAATGGTAGCCCAGGACCAAAACATATTTACTATGCTCATGGCCTCATTGCTTTTTTATGACATATATTAGTCTAGCATGGTTCTGCCTTTGTACATGAATGTTGCTGAAAGTCTTGCTCTATCTCCAACCTTCATTGTGTGTGAAATTAGTGTCCAGACTCCTAAGTTTTGAATAGGTGCAAGTGAATAATTGATGTATTATAGTAGAAAAAGCTTTCCTACATATGTATGATTTCCTTTTCCCAACAATGTTTTAAATGCTATGCCATTGACTAAATTAATGATACTATCATTTTGAATACCTGGAAGCTGAGTACTGACCTTATGAATGAAGTTAGATGAGCATTCATTGTGAAGGAGATAATGTGTAGCCAGTTGTGTGTAGGACAATGAAAGAAGACTGTCTGTTTAAGGAACTAAATGTTGATTCAATAGGAAAAATATAGAAAATATTTTTAGATCATTTTTATTGACAAAATGTCAACAGTTATGCTCTACAAAAAGCATTACATGATGTCAGAAGATGGTAAAATACTTTTGGATAGGCCCACATTTGGAAATGAAGGACAGATGAGAATAAAAGCTATTTTGGAGCTGTGATCACTGTCAGCTCATAGAGGCTAATTATCATCCTCCTTTTTTTTTAAAGAACTCTAACAGTATATGTCGTCCTAATGTTCAAGCCAATCACAATGGTTTGTGTTAGTAGGACTTTCATGTCAGGGACTTTTCAAGCGCCCCTCCTGCAGAGAAAAAGAGAATATTGGAAGCTGACCTCAAACTCCTGAAATGCTATATAAGTTTTCTACATTTAGAAATGTCCTGGTAATATTTTCCAATTTTATTAAAATTATTCTTTAATTTAAATGAGTAATTATGTATCTCACAATCATCACAGTAAAGAGAACTAGTTCATTTGCTCAGAACCACACAAGCTGTGCTCAAGTTTGACTCCAGATAACACAAGAGATTCATCCAATTCCTTTCGATGAATTGGACGTTTTATCTGTCCGTAGTGCCCATCTTTAATATAGGGTCATGTGATTGTTATTCTGCCTCCTTAAGTCGACTGAATTGGTAAACTGGGTACTGATTGTGCAGCGGGAAATTCTCCTACTGCGGCCTGCTGTCACGTGATTTCTAACACGCACTGGAAGGGAGAAGCAGAACAGCAAAGACGAGAAAGGATGGGATAAAGTTACCTGTGGGGTAAAATGTTAAAATAAGGTGAATCTGTGTGAGCGGTCAATGTAATTCTGAGAAATGACATAATTAACTAGGGCAATGGTTGTGGTGCTGCACACATTGCTACTTGCCAGCTCAATGTTTCAGGGCTGAGAAAATCCCAAACTCCCAACCTAACCACCCACCCAGTCCCCTCAGCCCTTTCCTTCAACGTGGCTACTACGTGGCCAGTGCAGCCACTGTGACCTCACAGAGAGAATCCTGGCCAGTATCCCGGCCCCCAGTGTGGGTAGCAGACGCCAGGGCAGAGGCTGGTGCCTGGACCAGGGGCCGTGGTGTCTCCTTCCAGTGTGTCTCTGAAGAGCCTGAACACCGCAACCTGCCGCCGCTGAAGACCGGACATCGATCGCCAGGCAGGTCAGCAGACACAAGACACAAGCCTCCAGTCCGCCGGTGCCCTTCTCCCGCCCTTGCCAGAATTCCCCTCTGTCTACCTCCCTCCGCTGATACCCTCCTCAACCTCCAGCCCAGCTTGCCACGTCTATCCCAGCGGCCAGGCTCCTCGTTGGACTGCTCCTTCCGGTTTGGGACCAGTGAGGTCGCTGACCACCAGGTGCCTCATTTGAATCAGGGATTCTGATCCTGACAGGGATAATGGCGTTGAAGCGAATCCAAAGGGAGCTCTCAGGCATGATCCGTGACCCCCCAGCCCAGTGCTCAGCAGGGCCGGTAGGGGATAATATGTTCCACTGGCAAGGGACAATTATGGGACCAACCAACAGCCCCTATCAGGGTGGGGTCTTCTTTCTGGCAATCAGCTTCCCGGCTGACTATCCTTATCACCCACCTAAAATTACCTTCACTACCCTAATTTACCATCCGAACATCAGCAAACGGGATAACATCTGTTTGGACATACTGAACTCTGAGTGGTCGCCAGCACTTACCATCTCAAAGGTACTATTATCTATCTGTTCCTTGCTGTGTGACCCGAATCCTGATGATCCATTGGTCCCTTCGATTGCAAAGATCTACAAGAATGATAGGGAAATGTATGACAAACTGGCCAAAAAATATACACACAAATATGCCACCATGTAATTTTACAGTGAATTACAAGTTCCGGACTTAAGAAGGTCTTCACAATAAAGACAGAGGAACATCACAGTTGAGTGGACTGTCTTTTCACTACTTTCTATGAAATGCTCTTGTCTCGCCTGTCCCTCTGAGCATGCACATGTTCGCCATCTGTATCATGGTGGGTGGGTTAGTCTGCAGCACAGATAGCAGTGTTTACCTAGATTAGGACTGGTGACATGGGGGTTACTCACTGGATGGCCAACTGCAAGGTCAGCAGTTTGAAATCAGTCGCTTCATGGAAGAAAGGTGAATGCATCTATTTCTGTGAAGAATTTTAATCCCAGAAATCCACAGGGACAGTAAGCCTTGTTTGGGTTTTGGTGGTTTGGGAAACAAGCAGACACACGGGGGGGGCGTGCTTAGGATAAGCAGACAAGTTGCCCCATCAGGTGTTTAGGTTTGTAATGGGAAGTCTTTTAGAACTGATGACAGAAATGAAAAGCTGAGTAAA